TCCCATGCTCTCCTATTGTGGAAATAACTTTCTGAGTCACTTCTCTGATCCTGGAGACAAACTGAACAGACACAAAACATAACAAAACACAATAGCAACGGGAAGAGAGAAATTCCTCCCTCGCCCTTCCACCACACACACATTTTATGTCCGTGATCTGAATGCACTCAAAGTTTCACACTGGAAGTGAAGGAAGGCAGAGACTGACAGTGTTTTTTGGCACACACTCTTTGAATCAAGCTCACCTTCACCACCACTGCATAAACAGTTAAAACATTAAAGCCACACTTCCCCAGTCTGTTACTTTTAAACATTGTCCAGCCTCTTTGGTCAAAAGTCTTAGCTTCCAGATTTTCCACAGACAGTGAACTGCAACTGGAATTTGCTAGCTTTTTTTTAACTTCAAAGCCTTCCACTTCAAAGGCCCTGCATTTTTTTTCTCAAGCCTCATGCCGCACCCTTAGCAAAAAAGATGTCAGTTTGGGACTCTCAAAATGCCACACTTGGACGCTCACATAGGTCTAAGAACCAACATCACAGCTACCATCTGCCCAGAGGGGAGTAAGGAGACAGGCACGCCCACAAGTGGCTGGCCCCAAACCCAGGCTGTATCAGGACTTCCTACACCAAAACACAGAATCACCCCTGCTCAGAGCCAAGTTTGAGAACCAGCTCAAACCCTTTGAAATGATCCATGTTGCGAGGCCTTGCAGATTCGGTTTAACTTCCAAGTGTTTTGTTGACTTTGGAAGTCTTGTAACAAATCCCAAGGTTTCCCTCTCTGGGATTGCTGTACAAACTGTGTTTGCAGCCTGCTGGGAGAAACAGGATGACTTGACAGAAGAAGAAAGAAGAAAGTTTTATTCAGGAATGCCGTAGTCCTCTGCTGCCAGCTCGCAGGGCCAGCCAAGGGAGACACCCGTGCTCCCAGGCACAGCAGCTTGGCAGGTCCCTCAAAGGAAATGACCTACAAGCACCTTCCTCCCTGCACCAGAGGAGTGGCTCTCAGGAGCCCTCAGGGGAGGGAGGTTTGAAGGCAGCCACCCTCCCCAGCTTTTGCAACCTCCCCAGAAGACTGGGCAGGGGATGGCTTCCCCTTCACGTGTCCTCGCAGGCAGCTGGACTGATTAACTGGGTGAGCAAATAAGAGGCAAGCCTGCAAACAGGAACCTGGTGCAGGGTGGGTCTGCAAAAACAACAAGACTGGGTGAATAAATCGGGTCTGGCTGTTAGCGTCCCTGCAAGAAACTTTTCATTTAGGCTCCACTGGATATTTTTGGACCACACCTGTCTATTTTTAGTAGGGATAATTAATGCTGAAGGAAATAAGGAAAAAAGTCAAGTTTTAAGTCCAGGAATGGGAAATTTGTTGTTCTTCACAAAATCACTGTGATTAGGGAGATCTAAAACGGAAGGGTTGTATTTCAGAAGTAAAAATATACTGCAAGTCGTTGTAAAAATTGCATGTTATGTGGTGTTTGCTAAGAGAGGGAAAGCTTTTCAAGGAGACAGCACTTCACCACTTAACTGCTATTAAATAGGAGTAAAGGCAGAGCTGAATGGCCAGCCTTAAATCGCAGCTGTGCTGTGGCTGTGTTTTTGGCTAGGTCTGTGCTGTACTCAGGCTCCCCCTTCTCTGGGTGTTGTGATCTGGCTCTGGGAGGGCCAGCTGGGACCTGAGAACATGCCCAGGCCTGTGCCTGAAGTTACACAGTGAAAGAAAAATTGCAGCTAAGCTATGCAGCACCCTCACCAGGTCCTTCAAATAATCTGCCTGAAGTACAAGGCGATTTTAAGGCCAGAAAAGTGGCTTTATGAATTGACATAGAAAACAAACCTCACCCTATTGGTTTCGGGAGCTGAAATATGATGGACAATGTGTGCAATGCTTTCAAAATTCTGTAGTTTTACTGATGTCAATGGTTTTTATATTCACATCCCTCAGCTGACATAGGCTTCTACCAGTGTTCATGTTACCATAGAAGAAAAAAGCTTTTGCTGGGTCATCTTCTGCTTGTGTGCTCACATCCCACTGCACCTCAAACAGCAGCTGCTTCAGAGCAGGGCCTCCCTGCTTGCCTGCTCAGCCTCTTCTGCCCAGCACCTTGCAACCAGCACACACAGGATGGCATCCTTGCCCTTCTCAAGGGAAAAATCTGGCTCTCTACTATCCAATTGCAATCTACATGCACTGTTACATTCCTAATCTTTATACTGTAGGGGCACCTCAGGCTGGACTGAGCCCAGCTTCTAAATTCCTGACAGCACAGGGAACATTTGTGTGAGACACCTGACACAAGTGGAACATGTCAAGGGGCAGCAGTCAGGATCTAAAACTGTACCTTCCTTTGAGATGCCTCTAAAAAGATTTGCTTTGGGGAGTATCACACAAAAATTTTCCCAGGGAAAAATCCCTGGGAATTATTCAGTATTATTCCTAATCATACCTTTCCTGCCTGATGAACAGTTGCCCTCATGTCTCCAGTTCCACAAAACCTCTTTGCAAACATGCTGGATGAGTATGTGTTTATTTTTGAGCTCAGGAAGGTAAATGTCATCTCCCATGAATAGCTAGAACAATTGAAAGAATGAAGACATACTAAAGAATATATTTTTCTAATTTCTAAGTTTTAAAAGGTTTGCACATATCACAGGGTAATGAGCATATCAGCGATTTGGTACTACCCACATTTTAATAAGAAGCACTATATGGTAAATGTGATGCTGCTGCATGTGTATTTTGTATTTGCTTTCAATTATTTTTGATAATAAAATATGACAGCAGTATTGTCCACGAACCTTAGAAGCCCAGATTTGTGAGATGTTTATGCTATAGCTAATGAGCTCCTGGCTTCTCTGGTAATTTCCTCTAAATACAAGAGTCACTGTGTGAAGAACAGAAGCCAAAGGCAAAGCAGACAGTACAGTTTTTATCAGTTATGAAGATACACAACCTGTCATGACTGAGCAGATTGAATTACCACATGGGGAATGAGCTCATGCAGCTCTCAGGTGACAATGACCAAACAGCAGCCACTGCCATCCACATCTGTGGGTACCACGAGGGGACACTGACATCGGTGTTTTCCTCCATAGCTACATTCTGCTCCACAGAAAGATCTGGGTGCTGCCTACACAGACAGCCCTGCCTAAAACCATCTTCCTTCTTGTCTGTGTCCTTTCCCTTAACCCCACAAATTCTTTAGTTCGAGTAGCAAGTTTATAACACACTTGGTAACACATCCAGCCTTCTGGAAAGTGTTTGGGACTGTATTCAAACCCAGCTAGCACACAGAAATTATGGAAAATTATCAGAACAAGTAATTGCCACCTTGGTTTTTTACCTTCTAATAAAAATGTATTAATAGCTGTGTCCTTCACCAGCCATTGCCATTTGCTCCACCACCTTCCTCAAACGATCCAAGTTTTTTATTGTAAGTGGCAGATGAGGTCTAGGGTCTAATGTCACATTTCAAAGAAACTTGACTATACCGTGACTTACAGGCTGTTGAATGTTGTGGAAGAGGAGTGGATGCTTGGGTCTGCCATCCTTTCGTTCCAGTCTCTCCAACAGTTTTCAGCCTTTGCAGGCATCCTGAAGATGAGTTCCTGTAGAATGAAGAAAGTCAGTTCAGCATCATCCTGCACAGCAGTGAGACATATGGCCTTTTTGCTCAGATGGTTCTCTGACCTTCTTGAGTAAAAACAGTGAATTAACATTTTCTGTGCAGAAAGACAGTATTTTGGAAGCATAAGATGGGGCACAGCAGAGAGAGGGCAGGAATCCTTTAGGAATTTCTCCAGCTCAGGAAGCTCAGGTAATGCCTTGGCCTTTACTTCATCAAACAGATTTATCTTATGCTGCAAATAGCTAAACATTTGGGCAATGTCTAGCTATAAATACTATAGTTACAGGAATAATAAAAATATTTTGGGGGTTTTTTTTGTTTGTTTTTTTTTTTTTTATCTTAGATTCACATCTCTTTGTGAGTTTTGATTAGCTGTTTAGTAGTCCTGTAAACCATTATTATCAGGTGTCAGTGTAGCCCTCTAAGTCCTTCCTGAAGAGGCCTTCATCATCCCTCCTTGGAAGCACATGGCTGGCATGTCAGCCACAGCTTCTACTTCCATTTCAGGATCCTTTTGCTGCTTTAAGTTCTTCACTCAAGCTACCCTTGGCCTTTTTATTTTTCCTTCAATTGTTGCCCTCAAGGGGCCGCCCCTGCAATGCCCTCTCCATTTCCAGCATGTCCCTGACCTGGGTAACTGTGACACAGATGTTTTTCAATGGTGCAATTCCATTGTCACCATTTCTGATGTACACTGAAATTAGATGAGAGAAAATCAGCCCCTACAACAGGCAAGAGAAACGAAATCTCTCCCACAGGACTTGTACTTTGTCACTGTCGAGGCAGGACGGGAATCATGAGACTCTGACTCAGAAGGCTGTAATACTAAAAACTCCGATTTATTCAAAATACACTGCTCTTTTATACAGAGCTTCGCAAGAACCAAATCCATCGGTTCTGAAGTGAAAACAACCCACACCGTTGGTGCAGAGTGCTTGACACACAGTGATAGAACTTAACTATAAACAATGTGAAAAACAAGAGAGATAAAGAATTATTTACATTCTCTCCAGCTCTTTCCCAGGTGTCTGCCTGGCTAGAAACTCTCAGATTCTTTCTTTGACTGAATCTGAGTCCCACAGTACTTGCTCCTGATCTGGGGTTTATAGCAATGTTAGGCTGCTTGAACTGTTTTCATTTTGTTTCCTCTGAGGTAACAGGCTGGGTGGAGTTTTGGGAAAGGGCCACAATTTGTTATTTAAATGAACATTAAGGTAGCAGCACACAAGATTGTGCTGAGCCAATTGCCCCCCCGCAACCTGCAGCAGCCCCTTATCCTTGTCCCTGCTTCTTCCCTGGGCTTCAGGGTCTGTCCAGCATCACCCTGAGAGCACACAGAAAGCACAAAAAAGAATTTAAGCAAACAGGTACTTTAGAAATAAGTTAATTTTATTGAATAGGCATTGTAGCTTCTCTCAGATTCAAATAATGGAGAAGCCAATTCACACAGATTACAGAGCTATCAGTTACTTTGAGTAATCTTTCATAAAAGAAAGAAATTAAATACAGTTCTGCTATAAAAAGTGCAACAGTTATAACTGGAAGTTTTTCAAAACAAAAGCAAGTTTTACTACCTATTGCAAAAATTGGTTTAGTGCTTTAATACTTTACAAAGTAACAATCCAACTGCTAAAAACAGCTCTTACACATCATCTTTGTCAAAGTATGGATCAGATTAAAAATGACATTCAAGTTAAATGAAAACTGCATGTAGAAAAGGTTCTCAAGAACTCACATTTTGCACAACAAGAAATATTCCTTATTCTTGAATGTTAATTAATGCTCCTGTTTCTTTTGAACAGTGGATTCAAACAATATGGTAGTCAGCTTAAAAATTATCAACTGTTTTCTTTTGCAGAGAAAGGTGACTGCAACCAATTGTGTTTTGAAATTATAAATAGGGTGGAGAAATGGGAAAAGACAAATTCATCCCTTTTTGCATGAAAATGATCAAACAAAAAACCTGAAGAGTAATTTCAGCTATAAATAAATTTCTGTAATTCCTATTACATAGTTTATTGAAAGCCTAAGTCAACATTTGCTAAAAGAGTATAAACTTATAGAAGGCAACAACAAACTCAGATTCTGAAAAATGAGAAGAGTGGTAAGACTACGAAGAAGTTGAATTCTCAGCCAACCAAAATCAATGAGACTTACTTTATTCCTTATTAACATTTTCTTAAGCCCCAGTGAGAGCCAACTACCTTCTTTGAAATGGACTTCAAGTACAAACACGTTTATTGTACATTTCTATGGGTTAAAAATGCTGAGTTTGCTAGGTAGAGTCACATTACCAGTCCTGACACTTTAAATTTTATATAATTAGCTTTGGTTATAATTGAACAGAGACTCTCAGTTAATGAGTAAATATACTTCTTTAAGCCAAAGGTGCAACATCTGTTACTTGTAATTATTGTTTGGGAGAAAAGCCACTCTAAATGCAACCTGAACTGCAAAAGCCAAATCTTCTTTATTGGAAAATCTATCACAGGCTTTAAGGACAAAGAGCTTTAGAATTTGTCTAAGAAAATAGAAGATTTTAAAAAAAGTTAGCAATAGGAAAAAAGATGTACAAACAATTGGAGGGGGCATATTACACAATAGCAACAGTAGAGTTCTGATGAATTAACTACATATACCTTTTGTATCTAATACTTCAGACTGTCCTTCAAGCTTTGCCCATGTCTGAGAGGCATTGAGTTTTAACAACACAAGATGTACCAAATGGCAGAAGTACATGTAAGCAGCAGTGATACTTTCAATGGTTCATTCAACTTTTTCCATACAAAAGTGTTAGTCACAAGAATCAGTGAGGAAGAACAAGGCCTCTCAAGGAGAACAAAGTCCTTCAATCCCACAAGAGACAAATTCAAGGCATTATGCAAAGTTCATAACAATATTTTATGTCTTAAAACTGAATGCAAAGTAAAACTCAAGATGGATTCCAAGAAGAAAACAACAAATCTATGGAGATTTTAAAAACTGCTTCCTAGGTGAATCATGCTAAGCCTGGCACATTACAAACACAGGAGTTAGAGACTCAGAGCAATGGGCTTGGAAAAAACACAGAAGTAATTGCTCCTCCCCAGGAAAGAGCACAAACCTAATCTCAGTCATTGGGATGGAGTTTTGTACAAAGCTGTCAAAGCTGGCCTAGAACACCACGGTTGGGAACTTGCAGCTGTTTAGATCTATGTGGCTGATTTCATCCATTATTTAGTCTAGGCCTAAATCCTGTTTGCTCCCCTTGGCTATGGTGAGGGGGCAGAGTTGGGCACCATGTGCATTCAAAACTCTCTAACAGCTCTGAGGGAAAAGCATTTCTGTACTGTACACACACTGTGCATGATACAAAGACTGCATTTACAGTACTCAGAATCTTGAGCAAATAAACAATAAAACCATTTCTTAGTTTTTGTTAGTATTAAAAGTGCACACGATTTTCAAAGCTGAGAGATGAGAGCGCTTCTGTTGCGCCCACATGGCTGTGTTTCAATTCATACCTGATTGCAAAGCCCATTTAAAGGAGATATGGGGCATTCTCTGAGCCTGAGATGCCACATCCTGCTGCTGCATCTCCTGCATATTTTAATCAAAAGAATGGGGAGGAGGCTTGTTGTTACTCACACCTGGAAGCAAATGGCAGCAGGGCAGTGTTCCACTGCATCTTCACTACAAAGGTACTGTTCGTTCATCACGGGCCAGAATGAACTGCATCTGTGTTAAAGGCAAGAACGATCAAGACCTGTTGTTTCAAGCTATGGCTCTCAGGCTCCTGACATGCTGTCAGCCTTCATGCCACTCTGTGGCAAAGCAATTGCATGGAATTTACCTATAAAGGTGGCTTTTACCTCTCAGCAGGGGAAGTGCAACTCAAGTGTGACTCTTTTCATGTTTATATAGATTCCACATGTGAAAAAAGGAATAACTGGGTCATTAACATACCAACTTAGTCTCTTAACTTCCCCCTCCTTATTTTTCTAAATCAATGGTGTTTGAAAGTGGCAAAATGGAAATTAAATACAGAATGCACATAAGAGTTAGGCACTATTTAATTACAACATTGGATCATATTTTTGCAACCTCAGATGATTCTGCCCCTAGAATTTTCTTTAAGAAGGGAGGAGAACTTCCCTTTCTCCCTTCTTCCCCAATAGCAAACCTCTACAACAAAGCAAGAGGCTCCATTAGATGCAGAGATGAATGGCAAAAACATTTTTCTGTTTCCCAGAATACAGGAAGATCTACAAAACATACAGTGTTAACAGGAAATAAGTTGTGATACATCTTAACTATTTTCTCCCTTTTTAGTATTTTGGTGCCCTGGTTCCTCCACTAGCTACAATAATTTCTCTAGTTTAACTCCATCTCCTCTCTTGATTAGGGTTTCCTGACACACTAACACTCATCAAAGAATCACTAGTTTTTAAAGAAAAAATTCTGTTAAGATCACAGGGTATTCAGATGAATGTGTCTAGAGACACACAGACTACAGCAGGCTTGAAAGTTTTACAGTCATGGTTAAATGAGGAAGCAGGACAGAGGCTGCATCCAGTTAAGTGACTCTCAGTCCCCAGAGAGCCGTAATTTTAAGGCTGTTTGGAACACGGTGGCTTAGCCCACATGGCTGTTCAGCAGTGCAAATGTGCATCAGCCATTTCAATTCTCTTGGTACAGTACAGGCATTCAGGTACTGGGAGACAGAACATCGGAAAACAGCAATCAGAACAGCATTTTCACTTCAGAGGAATAACCCAACCAGACAAATAATAGGATCACGATACCCAAGGAAAAAATAAGGTCTTATTTCCCCACCCCTGCAGTGGAATAAAAGAGCCCCATTAATAATGCAACAGTTAAACAATTATGTGGTGTTTTGGTACAAGGCAAGTCTCTCCATCCTCAAAACAATCATTTATGAATAAGCCAAATTATTTGTTCACACATGGAAGGTCACTAAAGATAAAATGCAAATTCCACTGACTGAAAAGAAGTGTAGAGTGTTAATAAGGAAAAGACCTGAATATGTGTTGGAGTAACACTCAAATGATTTTCTGAAACCAAGAGGGAACCTTTCTTCCCACACAAACTGATGCTCAGGACACCTTAAAACCAGTGTATCGATCAGGAGAAACCCAGATGCGCAATCATTAGGTATCCAGGTTTGAAAATTTTGGTTGCAGTAAATACTTTAATAGTAATCCTTAAACAACAAATCCCAACAAACTAAACTGCAAAAGTTAGGGAGTTTTACAAATAACACAGACTTCTAATTTAACATATGCATTAGTTTGTGAAGTCTTTTTCTTTGCACAGTTCATCAGTAATTGATATGTACAGTACAAAGAACTGTGAAGAAATAAAATCTGAACACTTCAATCTGCAAGAAGCCAATGCATACTTGATACATATTAAGAGGATGAAATTTCTATGATCTAGAATGATTTTTTTTTACTCCAGATACGGAATGATTGCATTCATTCTTGATTTTCATTCCGAAGGAATAATAAATAGCTGATTCTCTTTTTAAAAAAAGCAAATGAATCCTACTCCAATGGGTTCAGGGTGTGTTATGAATGTCCCACGTCAATCAATATCTGTGCAGAAATGTTTCATTTGGTAAGGAAATTTTCCATATGCATGTTTATTCAGAAGCTGCTTATAAAAGTGACTATTGGTTAGGACTGGAAGAGAATTAGAGAGGAACAGTGTTGTACCAAAATATATAAAGAAAAATTTAAAGCTTTTCAATTAAAAAAAAAATTGTATATTCAACTCACATTAGATACAGATGTGCACAATAGACAGAGCAGTTAGAAACAACAAGTACATTTACAAAGCTTTCTTTCCATGGTTAATTTCTACCAGCATTTCTAAAAGTAACCTACTAAAATGATGACCCTGTTTATAATAAAGGCGCAAAATATTGCTCTGTAGCGTATTTTGAAAATAATATAAAAATAATTTCTATATTACAATTTAAACTTGGCTTGTAAAATTCCAACATAATACAGCCTTAAGTCTAGAAATAGAACATACTTACAAACACCTTTGTGTTGTTTTCCTCTCATTTTTAACAATATAATATTTTAGTCATATACACTGGAAATCCATGGGGAAATTAAAATAGATATTAGTGTCTGTTACTGAAATAAATTCATTTCTATGTTATAGTTTGGTGATCCTCTGCATAAGCTGCCATTCCCTAAAACAAATACTCTTCAAATACACTGACAGAGACTTAAAATACACTAAGCTAAAAAGCCATTTACAATCAGCATCAGTTATTTTGCTTCTCTGTTTTTCTGAGATCATTGTGGTTTCTATGAACGTAAGGGTTCTCACCTGTGCAAAACTCTCACAGTGCTATGAAGACCTTAATCCTTTCCTAGCTTGTACTTCACGTCCGTGCCCAGTCTGCAATGTTTTATATGTCAATGAAGCACCTGGTTTAAGGCCCCCACTGCTAATGGGATTCTGTCCACGCCCTGCAGAGGACAGCAAAGGCAGCCCAAAGAGCCTAAGGCTTCTCTCTACTCCTCGGGCAGAATTCTCACCCACTGTCGCCTTGGAAGAGTCAGGTGGGCAGCCCGACACTGCCAAAGGCTCAGGCCTGGATCAGAAACATTTCTCTGTAACACCTGCTGGAGTTGCTGAAGATAAGCAATCCTTGCAGCAGGGTGAAGGTGAGCACCAGTGTGGCTGTGTGGAGGGCAGTGTTTGGCAGCTCTGTGCTGTGCATGTTTCATACCCACACCTTCATCCCCCGAGCACACGGCCCCGCACCAGGAGCGGCCTCTGGGCCCCTGCAGGTGCTGTGCCAGGTCCTGGGCAGCGTCTTCAGGGCACCCAGCACTGCTCACACCGCAGCTCTCAGCTCCACTAACACCCTGAACACTCCACTTGGCCTGCTCAGACTTCTAGGATACAAGCAACACAAAGCTTTTCAAGTACAGCACCTTTCTGTTACTGATGCTTCTAATGTTACCTTTGATTCAGGAAGAAGCATCCAATTGCTAAAGAAAGCTGGGACAATATTGCCATTGTATTCATAGAACAAAAGGCTCACCAATTGTTTTAAAATCCAAAATCTGAAGTTACATTTGATAACCTACAAAACCTTCTTCCAAATGAGCTGCTTGTTAGCCATATGCTACAACTGACACCCAGCCCTGAAAATATATTAGTAAACTCCAACAGTGGTTTATTAACTCTGTAAAAATCATTTTAAACAAAACTTTAATATAAAGCATGACTGAAACCCATTATGTATCACAGGTATCCTCTGTTACAAAGAGACCTTTGCATCAGAGTTTAGAAGTAAAAAAAAAATTTACATAATACGTTTAAGCCTTTTTTAAATTAGAAAAATTGCACATTCACACTTTAAAAGAATTCCAGCTTCCTCCAACCTAAATATCTCCTGGTGATTTTGGATCCATCTCGGAAGGTGTAGCCTACCCAGTGTTTACTCTGTACTTCTGAAGTCTGGACTACAGTGACAAATGCTGAATCACTATCAAGAAGAGAGTGCGGAAAAAAGCACATACAAATACAAAAAGATGTGTGTGCATTGCAGCACTCGGGCTAACAGAAGGAATGAGCAGGGTCCCTCCAAAGCAAAGCAGATTTCTCCACATCTGGGACTATGTGGGAACTCTACAGCTCTGGAAGGTGTAGAGAGAGCAGATCAGGCACAGGGCTGGCTGGCCTGTGGGCTGCAAACACTTCCAATTGTCAGGAAAAATAATACAAAAGAGCACTGAGAGGTTAGCATAATGCACAACAGAAAAATATATGTGAAGGTAATTACCTCTAGCAGGTAGCTAAGGAATGGCACAATGTCTTTCACTGCTGGTGAATGCAACTCGTGAGCAGTTGGGAATTTTCTCTAAAAAAAATAGGCAGAAAATTTTCTTCTATAGCTACAGTCTTCTTTTCATGGAACAACACTTCTTCAGGAGGGGGGCACAGTTTCTGCATGTTTGGTCTGTTTAATCACAGCTATGGCACAGCTGCCACAAATAGCCCAGAAACAGAAAGAATGTTTGAAGAGAATTCTAAAAGAAAACGGCAATTAGAAAATTATTCAAAGGTATCCCAACAAAAAGATTCTAAGGAAATAGGCACAACTAAAAAGGGTTCTGTCAGTATTCCATACAACAGATATTTTAAAGTGAGCAGTCCTGTCGAGGTAAATATTTATGGAAATATCTGAGTGTTCTGAGGATGACAATGAACACTCAGGTTTGGTATCCTGTACAGATAAGACCGACTGACTTTTCAAAATAATCTAATAACACGAGTACAATGAATTCAATAATTCAGAACAGAGTAATTTATCTACATGGTGACCAGTTGAAAATCTCTTTCTTTTATGAGAAGACCTTAAAAACACACTATAGAAACAAATCCTATGGAAATGGGAAACAGCAAAATCTCTTGGCAATTGCTTATTTTTACTATGTACTGCTTTTTTGCTCGTTTGGAATGGATGTAACTCACTTAAATACATGGGCCGGTGTAGTTTACTGCTAATGTAATATTTCTTAAACACAACTTTACACAGATATGAATCTTGGAATATCACACAGTACTGCTACTCTAATGCCTTAAGAATTCTTAAATATTTCTGTTATTCTTGAAGTTTAATCCTGCCAGTTTTCTCAAGCAAATACAATCAGCAGCAAATACAATCAAGTATAATACTGAATTTCTTTTAACGTGGTCTGGCTTGTTTTAGCATAATTTGCAATCCCAGTTTTCTTTGACAATTAGAACTTAAATGTAATAATCACAACAGCAAAGCAAAGCAGGACACTGCTTAGCAGTGTATGCAACAGGAGGCATGGGATTTGGAAGGTGCTTACCTTAAGGAGAGAAGTCACACAGAGTTTTAACAAGTACCAACATTTTCCTTTCATGAAGGAACGCAAGTTCAGTAAGATTCAGTGTATGCTCAGTATACAGCAAGGAATACAAAATACAGGTCTGGATTCATGGAACAGCTAACATGGCAAAGACTCTAACCTTTTACAGAAGTGACCAAGGGACTTATTTTGAAACCTCCCATTCAGCAGAAAACCTAAACATATGGTCAATTTTAAGTATATGCTCAGTTCTACCAATGTGGGACACCGGAAAAAGCTCACGTGCTTTTTCTTAAAGCCAGGACACAGCAGCAGAAGTTTGTGCATCTTGTTTCACAGGGAACTTTAGGCTTGGTTTCAGGGTTAATTAGGATTAACTGTATGCAACGGTGCCATCCATGTCAAAAATTAAAATTGGGTGGCAGCAGGCAAATAATCAGAAATTAGACTCTTTGGCAAAGAATCTTTCCTGTGTGGGCAGAAAAGTGTTATTCTCTAAAGAGGAAGGCAGAACTCCTGTTCTGCACCTTCAGGTGGCAGAGTCAGCAGCCCTGGAAGCAGTACTTTAACCTGTTATGTGAAATTAGCTCTTAAATCGAGCCATTGTTCACAAGGGTAAAACCAAAGAGCTCCTGGTGCTACTCTCTGCCAGCTGATGGTGGAGGGGTGCAAACCCAGAGCTGTATCCCAGAAAACTTCCTCATGTCATCCATCTCCTTCAACAGTATCTGCGGTGTCTGCTTTGCAGAAATGCTCCTGTGAGCAAAGTTATATTTTCAGAAGTATTGCAAACACTTACGTAAATATTTGGATCTCAGACTTGTGCAAATCTGTGCTAGGAGCTGCCATTCCTGCTGGAGGCATTTTGCAGCCATCTGGGAGCCTCCTCGGGGGAGATGACTCACTCTAGAAGACTGGAAAAGAGGTGGAGCCAACAGTCTTCAAGAAAGGCTCAAGTAGTTACATTTGCAATAATTATCACTCAATAATGTTTAGAAGGAATAAGTAAATAATGAATAGGTTCGTGCACTAGCTAAGGCAATAAAGTGATGCATTACATTGGTTTTGGCAAGCAGTTTGAGTCTAAAATGATCCTAAATTTCCTAGTTGGTCATCAAATTTTCCATATCTAATAATTTTTGAAAATGGTTTATTGTAACATTTCTCTGCATTTTAACATCAATGAAAATACTTCTGAAATTCAGGTGTGCAAAACTATACTGTCAGGGGGCTTGGGACATGAAGTCATATTGAATTTTCTTATAAAACCTCTTTAAAAACTCAGTGCAAATAAAAGTGGTTCAAATCTACTTTTTTAAAAAACGAAAATTTAGAAATAATTGGTAAGAACTTAAAATTAAGACAACCTACAGCCCTCATGAATTCAGACCTTTCACTCCCATTTTTCCAGAATCATTCAATTTCAGACTGAAATATACAAACGTTAGTAGCAATGCAATATGCTGTCATGTTAAAAATGTGCAGTATGCAAAATCACTATCCTCCTGAAAAAAAAGGCTATGAAAAATTTAGGTTTTACTGAGGAAAAAATACTCTATAGCTATATCATTTCAAATGTCTGCAAGGCAGATACTACCCTATTACAACACCACATCTTCACTAGTATGACGTTCCCCTATCATTCTACTACCTGAGTGATGTCAGTGTAAATTCAGGCACCATTAGTAAATTTTTGACCAAACATATACACAGCACTGACAAAGGAGTAAACAACCCTTCAGCTTACCAGTACATGTAAAAAAGACACTGACAAAATGGAAAATAATATTTTTTATGATAAATTATTCCTATTATTTCCTCATTGCCCCAGTAAAGCGAAGAGCTAGACACTGTTTACTCATCAATCCTTTATTCTTTAAGGATTCCTTTTACTGCAATCCAACACTGTTTACTTTGTAAGTAAGAAAATGGTAAAACTAAGTAGTCATGGAAGAATCCTCAATGCCTGTGTCCCTTGCTGTCCCTCTCCCTGCGCTTTAACTCCTCTTTGTAGCAGTAGGAACAGTAATTCTCAGTCTCGGGACGCCCATAAAAGGAGCAGTTCTCCTTCTTACAGCGGTTCTGCTGGATGGAATATATTGGGCAAACTGTGCTTCTGCCTTGGTTTTTGTCGTTGTTCAGCCAGCTCTGAGGAGCGTCCTCATCAGCGTACTCCAAGCAGTCTCTGATGTCCCCGGTGTCGAAGCCGTTTGTGTAGGTCTGGGACTTGTGTTCGGCCGGCCTGGCGTAGCTCAGCGACTCCACCGTGTTCACCGTGCGCATCCCGGGCAGCCGCGCAGGGCTGTAGCTCTGCGAGGACAGCGATCTGTTCTGCTGGGGGTAGGTGGCACAGGTTTTCAGGGTGCCAACCACTGGCTTGTAGGTATCATCCTGGAAGCTCGATGGCTTGGAGTTGACGTCATGCAAATGGATGACACTTTGCCTTTGAACGGGGGGCGTATGGCTATAGTGGGCAGACACCGGGATGGGGCCGCTTTTCTTGGCACCATTGCTGGGTGAAGAAAAGGACCCGGGCGTGGGACTAGTGCGGTCTTTGAATTTTAAAACCAGTTGAGTTGTATGGCTTTGAGGTAAGACGGGTGATGCCCTGTCCTGAGGAGATGGTTCTAATTTTTCTTTTGAAAATGCCTCTGGCTCCAGTTTCCTACTAGAGGAGCCATTCATTGCAGCCTTTTTCTCAGCTTCCTTTCTTTTCTGCTCCTGTTCTGCATTGAAGCGCTCCTGGGCACTGGTCAGGTAATAGCCGATCATCTCCTCGTGGAACTGATGCCTGTGACTGGTCAAAAGAAGGCCAGCAAAAATAAACTTTCGTTCACCCTGCATGGCAGCTCTCAAAATATTTAGGCTGAGTTTCACGTCTGTGCTGTACTTCCATGGGTCAGACTGCTTGTCAGAGAAGGGTTTAGTGTTCACCTTTTCGGTGGGGGAGCTGCTGGCTCTGTCAGTCGGAGATGGAGTGGTCTTTTCAGAGGGAGATGTGCTCGCAGACTGTCCAGATTCCTCTTTGCTCCCTTTGCGAGACTTGGACTTCTTCTCTTTGACTTTCTCCACTGTGTCACCATTTTTTCCATTCCCTGAATTGGCTCTGCTCATCTTCCCATGCACCAGACCTCCAAGACCACCCATGTTCTTTTTCAGTTTAATTCCCAGGGTTTTACTGAGGCTTCCTATTTTATTGGCAACTGAATCCGTCCTGGTTTTGTCTTTATCTTTCCTTTGTTTGTCCTTTTCTTTTTCTTTACCGTTTTTGCCATTATTGCCATTGGAATTACTACAGATGGAATCTCGGTCTGAGTCCATGGAGTCAGCCAGAGACTGCACATCTTCTCCAGCAGAAGCTGTAGGGGATTCCGGTTGAGCCAAAGGGGCCTGCTATGGAAAAGGAATTATAATTAGATACAGCAAAAGTCATTTCATACAGGAGCTGGTGCAAATATACCCACCCCCAATTCAATACAGATTTTGACACTAATTTTAAATACATTTTTTAATTTATGCACTGACATTTCTCACTGGTTTCATCACTAAATAAAGCTTTTCTGGCTGTGCTTGCTATGTATTTTATTTTGTTCCTACAGTAGCTTTTGGCTCATTTCAGGCACATTTGTAAAATAGAGGTCAGTCACTCAGAGGCTCTGTGAAAGTCAGTGCCTGAGTCATGGGGGTAGCGAGTTCTCTCCTGCCCCAGTGAGCCAGGACAGAGCGGATCAGCAGTGCAGGCTGTCCCTCAGCCCACGGGAAAGGAGCTGGGGAGGATGTGATGCAAGAGGAATGAGCTGCTGCTGCAAGCTGTGAGGGGGATACAGCACACAAACCTGTGTGCAGCAGTATTTCAAAATAGATTATGTTCAAAACCCAGTTTATTTAAGCTGACTTTTTATTTATTTAGGTCTCTGGTACATGAAAGTTAAAGGTACAATGCACCAGAGCAAAACATCTCATCTGAAATATCAGACATTAAACTCAAGCAAGCAGGCTGAGGAATACAATGATGTGTATTCATGTTTATTGGAAAGGCAAGGCAGATAAAACTGGTCATAAGTCTGAGATCCACTTTATATATTAGGTAACATGATAAAACACCTTCCTTGAAAATGCAATAACATGGGTCCTAAGGTACTTTAAAACAGGACTCTGTTCATGTACTCCTGCAGAACAGCCTTGATTTCAGGCACCATGAACCTAAAATCTGCTAGAGATAAATCTGAAACACTCACCTGACTACAAGGACGGGGGGATGGGTAAGCTCTGTACATCTGTATACTTCTGGTATAGAAATACCTGCCTACCATTGTCCCTGGGTACTTACCTGTCCTCTCTCCCAGGAAGCCCTGAGCACCCCAACACTCAGCTGGGAGCAGAGGTGTTACTCCCACAGAGCAAAGGGGAAAGTGCTGCAGTGACCTGACCATGATCATGCAGCAAATGTGAGCAGGGAGAGGTAACCCAGGTTACATGAGGGCTCTCCACTTACAACTGCAGGACCATTTTGACTCTCCTTTTTCTGACATGCTAGTTACTACTGTAGAAACTGCAGAAAAATGAATTTTTCCTCTCTTGCAGCTTGTTAAAATACTTTCTCCTTTTGTGTTCTGTTTCTCTGTTCAAACTTCATCTGTGTAGGCTGTCTAAATCACCTCCATCCTCTCCTAGCAACCTTTTGCTTCCAGCCCAACCCCTCCACCTATTCAATGCAATTTGCAGAGAAAATTCAGTGCCAGCTGAGCATGGTTCTAAAGCAGCCCTCTGGAAGAGGCAGGCTCCATTTCAGTGCCAGTCTGTGGCCTTTTGTCAGCCACTCTAAACTGAGAGCTGTCCACAACTGCAAATGCACTCTCAGAAACAAACTGGTGACCTAGCAGTGGCATCAGGAGACCAAGACAAAGTTCTGAGAAAACAATGGTGAGAAAAGGTTTCTTTAAATTACACAAACTACTGAAATTTATACCAGAAAAATTTAGCTAGAAGATGCATTTCAGCAAAAAATATACAGGCAACAGTGTTATTAAAACAAATAACCATAAAAATTTGTGAGCCTGATTGGCATCAGTGAGCCAAGAGTGACTGTCCCTGCTGCCAGGACACTGAAGTGTTTGCAGGCAGCCTATCCTCCTGTGCCCTCTATCTGCCATGCTGCGGGACCAAGGGGGAGGTTCACCTTACCCGTGTCTCAGAGGGGATGCGGATCCAGGTTACATTCATGTAGCTGTGCAGAAGATTAAGCTTTGCCTCAAGAGACAGAATCAAACTAAAGATAAAAAAGAAGGGAACAAATAGTCAAACAGCCTGAAAGAAAAAGCAACACTTCACAACAGGGGGAGATGCAACAGCAGCCTGATTGTGATTGTCAGCTGAAGAACCCCCCCCATGTCTTCTGTCATGTAAGCAGAGCACATGAACCAAGGCCTCGCTGTTAGCAGCTCTCCCAGTACTCCAACCAGGTACAGCTCAAGACATTTTACTGCTTAACACTGAAGTTACAGAAAGGTCTTACTTGGCCAGTCTGGTGTTATCATTGTCATCTTTTCCCCACTCCCAGTCTTTCCCAGGATCGACCGCAAAGTGCAAAGGCAGTAACTTGTGTTCAGAGTCAGTCAGGGGGATCACCGCTGAAGCAGAGAAGAAACAAGGATTGGGGTGGGGGAAACAAAAATGACAAAAAGAAGAAAAGACTCGACTGTAAAAAGCAGAATCGCTGCTTCAAGAAGAGCAGAATTTGTGCTGCAGAGCTGCCTCATCCAGAGCACTACAAATGATTTATACTGAGCTCCATTTGCCTGTTTTCATGTTTGTGCAATAAAAGAGGAAGAGGTTAATACATTAATTTCTACTGGAGTGAATGATAGTCACCTGTGGAGGAGGGGAGATCTCTGGAGAGAACCACATGGCCATTTGTACTGTACTATCAACATTTCCTGGAGACAGAGCCATTAGAATAGCAGAAAGCAATAAAATATTGCAATATTCCTGCCTATCTCTTAGAATCAGAAACTCGCATGTTTGTTAATTATTTTGTCTTTTTAGTTTAGTACTTTTGTACTGTCAAAGAAGTAAAAATATATTGATATCAGCATTAAGAAAGCAAGAGGAAGCTACAGTGATATTGAATTCAAAATGAATTAACATAATTGAAGAGCAGAGATCAACATGTATATGGGTTGAGAGGTCAGTTTGAGGCCTCTGAGTGCAGTGCAAAGGCCATTATTGTTCTTACAGCCCAGCACTGCTGCCCAGCAGTTTTGCTCTTCTGCTCTTTCCCCTCTCCGTTCAGGCTCTGCCCTAATGACTCTGCCTCTTAATGACTCTGCTTTATACTCAGCATGCAGAGACCACACTCAGATGTCACAGAGTGTCTATCATTCATCACCAGCAAGAGACTAAGAAATAAAGCAATGTCAGTTTTAATTAAAGCCACCAGTTCCCTTCCATTTGATTAGGAAAACAAGTGAAAGCTGTGTAGGGCCTGGGTTAGATCCTCAGCATGGTGTAGGTCACCGCTGCTCCTCTGACAGCCAATCAAGGCATTTGCCTTTCTGCACTAGAGCTCTTCAGGACTTGCCCTGGGTATTCATGCCAGACAATCCAAGGGCAAAGAAACCTGGAGGAGCCAGTTATTGAAACCTGACATCACGGGGGGTTCTTTGGGGTTTGTAACCCTTTCTGCGGCGCAGCAAACACGCGCGGCCAGGGCGGAGCCGCAGCGTTCCGGTCCCACGCAGCGGCTCCGAGCCCGGGGCCGCTCCGGCTCAGCCGCCGCCCGCGGAGCTGCGGAAAGGCCCAGAGCGGCCCAAATCCCGCGGGGCGCCGCCCCCTGCCGGCCGCGCCGGGAAATGCCGCGCTGCGCCCCGAGCGCCGCGCCGCGAGCGCCGCGGCACGGACACAGCGCTGGTCCCGCACGGACACGGCTCGGGACTGCAACGCCGCACGGAAACTGCGGGCGATACACTTCTAACACTTCCTGGTGTAATATGAGGGCTTATCCTAATGCATTCGATGAAATTATTGCAACAAAGAGGCTGGAATAACTGAACGCGCTTCACAAGAAAAATGCTGCCAATTAACTGAGTTACCAGCAGGCACTGATTGGACTGACATCTGACCTCAACCATTTAAAGGAAGAAGGCAACTGAGGAAAGTGTAATGTTGTACGTTTACAGCACAGAAGTTCCATTCTGATAGCACCTGGTTTTACAGCTACAGCCTGGTAAAAAATTGTGAATGTAATCCTAGGACAGGTGATGATGGAAAGCTTGGAGCAAAGAACCACCAGACAGTTGAAGCAGTCTCTTTTTGGGATAGAAACTTCAAAGGGTAAATGTGACTTTCTTCTCTATGGAGGGCTTGAAACGAACTAATTTTCACATAGTTAAATAAATATTTTGGTTTATAAACAAATTTTAAAATAATCCCTTTAAAATCTATTTCTACTGATACTGAAAGTACCTATTAAAAATGCCTAGGGATACTCCATTTTATTAAAATACAAAGTTAAGTAAAAAACAAAGCTTCGAGCTGGTTGTCTGTAGCATGTCACTGTTGTCTTAACTCCTGTACACATTCTGAATGCCAGAAATGTGTTCACTGAGTTGAGTGCTGATTGTATCCCCATTCTAAGGTAGAGTCTAAGGCTAGTGTAAAGCACTGCTGTTTTCATGGAAAACAAATCTGCTAAAGTGAGGGACTTTGAACATTCTGTCTTCACTGCAAAAGTGCAATGAATTTTGTTTGATGGTTGGGGTTTAATGTAAGTTTCCCCATGTTCCTGATAGAAAAGTATTTTTTTGTCACAGCTGCAAGCAGAGTCCATCCCATTCATTTCTATAGCAAACCCACAGACTGCAGCACCTCCCTGACACCCAGCAGGGTCTGCACTTTGGTCAGTGTTGGCCCACTTGGCTGTGGCTCTCCAGCTGGAACTACACTTCTCCAAGCACAGCCTACCAGCCCTAATTCCAACAGATGGGATGAGTGACAAGCAACAGCCGCTGGCTGGTCCATGGCAGTGTGACACACACAGCGAGGACTCTGCTGCCATTCCCCAGCTGGCTGTGCTGCTGCCTTCTGTGCTGTGAAGGCAGTTCACAGCACTTCCCAGCTCTCATATCCTTGTGCCTCAAGTGCCATTATTAATCTGAAAAGAACAACACTTTAACTCTTTCTGAACATGCCAGTACAATAAAATGCTGACACACAAGCTGACATGGTGCTGTTCAAGACAACTGCCACACCTCTCACGGTGTTACTCGGATTGAGCATGGCAGTGTGGAAAGCTCCAATGCCAAGGGAGCAGTCTCAGGGACAGTTGAGTCCTAGTCTGTGTTTTCCATAAACAAAGACACAAAAGATCTGCATCAGTAGAGTCTCCATTAATATAAAAGCATTTACCCATTTTTAACCAGACACTGGATTTCAAAACAAGAGGGCCCATGTGACCACCAGAATGCCAGGGGCTATGTGTAAGAAGTGTCAAAATGTGTCTTAAATCCTCTCCAGACAAGGGGATATTAGCATGTTTTCTCTTTATATCTATTTATAGTAGTGTTTTAAATGTTCTGATACAGACCTCTATGCCAAAGCAGAACTTCAAGCATTCACATCAGTATTTATTTGACCACACATACTTCTCAAATGCAGCCATAACTGTCTCCTCCACTAGAGAGTTCAGCAGCTGCTTAAACGTGTGTGTATGTACCTGCAGGAGTTCTGACATCTTCAGATGCTGCTCCTGACACTTGGTTAGAGCATAAATACTCTTAAGTTATGAATGGCCTGGCTCTCCAGGATGCTATTTTTAAGAAGGTGCAGCTCTAAGCTGCATTCTGAGAGCTCAAAATCTGCCCATGTGCCGAGACCCCTGTGCCATTGCTGCTGACACTTGACGACTGTGGCTCTCCCTTGCCATGTGCCAAAGCTGCTCTGCTGACAAGGTGCAAACCCCAGGCACTGCTGGAGCATCCCTGTGCCCATTTCCCTCCTGTCACAGCACATGGAGGACAACAGCAACGCTGTGGTTGCTGCTGGACTGCTGCAGTCTCCAACAGCAACTGGCTTGGCAGCTACAGCTACAGCATTCCCTTCATCCCAAAATAAATGCCAAATGCTCTCTGCTGCTCTACACAACTGAAGCCTGTGCATTCAAGGCCCTGAAGTAAGAGAGGTACAATTAGGTCATGCAAAACAAACACCACTTTGATTCACTGACCCTTGTAATTAACCTGGATGAACTCGTACATGAAAAGTCAGTAGTTAATGTTTCTGATGCTGTTCTGAATATCTGGTAGGGGTTTCTCGCCCAGCACCTTTCCTGTGGGAGTACAGGTATAGGAAAATCCTACAGAAAAGCAGTTGCTAACCTCAAGGACATTTAACATTACTGCTCTTGTAAGACCTGAGGTACTGAAGGCAGAGAGATGTGCCTGAGATAAATGAGGCTCCTGGCTGCTGCTATTATTCTAGTTGTTAGAAAGGAAGAAATGAACTGTGCCATTGTTTTGTGATTGAGCTGCTCAGATTCCTAAACATGCAGCAATAAAATTTAGTGAGTATTGCTTCCTTTCTGACAGAAAAATACATCTATAGGTAAAAGAAAGTACTTTGTGCACTCTATTCAATATATTTGTCAGTGTTGCTGTATTTAAAGCATACCTTGTTCTCTCTGTTGGTCTTTTTGTTCCATGGAGACAAGAGCAGAGAAATGGGCCTGATCATAGGCCAGCACAAGAGGTGAGCAATGGCATCTGTTTGGCAGAACTTCAAGTGGCAAATAAATTCCTCCAAACGGTATCGGTGCAAAAGCTGCAGAGACAAAGATTTTTGCAACTATATGAAAGAACAGAAAGAGTTGTATAAACAATTGTGCTGCAATATCATCAGAGCTCCAGGAGAGCAGCTTAAAGTGGGGTAACCAAAGCAGAAAACAAGCACAACAGCAGCTAAAATTTCATTATAAAATGTCAGGAAATATACAAAGAATCATGAGCAAGATCTTCCACTCTTACATAATTTTCCTTGTTCTAATTTTTTATTGGTGAAGATATTATGGTCTTATAACAAAATCTTGATTACTCTTATGCATGTAAGCAGAGTTGTACCTTCCTGTAATGCTTCTAGGCTGAATTATTTTCTAATAACCATCAGTAAATACACTGCCAGGTCTTTTGGTAACATGCTCCACTTGTGCCTTCCATTAACAGATTTCTATAACAAACATTGCAAACGTGTTTATAGTCCACACACTGTATATACCTGAATGTACATACAGATGCATATATGATAAAGGTAAGGAAGAACTCAAAAAATCCTACAAGTAGAATTTGGATGGGATGCTCCATCTGGAGGGGCAAAATTTTCCTTTGACAGATTCTACACTTGTTTATATATATAATTATGGAAAACAGCAAATTTGATCAGGAAAATTCAGTGGTTTTGCTTTGAACCAATTATTTTTCCTTTTGCTACAAAAATATGAGACTTTATTGCTGAAATATTTGCAAGATGAGTTCCTTCATGAAACCCTCATTCTGGCTCTGAACAATGACTGCACTGTCTTTCAGGTGTGTTTCTCAATAACCTACAGAATAATCTACAACCATTACTTGTAGTTCCTAATTTGCAATGAAAACTGAAATATTGCAGTATTTTCCTGTGGAAGTAAATTTCTGTAAACTCCATCACCTGCTTAACATCCTCTTTTAATCAGCCAAACATCCCTCTTTAATTAAGTAACACCCTATCATGAATTACAATTCTGCTAGTTCATGGTAGAAAGTGAGATGAATTTAATGCTCTGAGTCCTGCTCCAGCAGGGTCAAGCTGGCTCCACATACGGATCTAACATTTCTGTGCTCACCTGTGCAAACTGAATAAAACATTCTGGAAACTTTTGAATGAGAAGCTGCAAAGAAGTCATTAAAAACAAAAATCCCAGATACACACATTTAAAATTCAATTTTTCAAAGTCAGATTAGATTGGTTTCTGCAGAGTTTTAAGGGGCACCTAAATAACATGGCAAAATTAGAACTTTGTTCACTTAGACCAGTCAGAAATGTATTATGTTTTGTAATTTGGTGGTTATTTAAGTTAATAGGGAATATCTGGGATAAAGAGGTTTTCAGCAAGGGTTGTGTAATTATCTTGTATTTTTTTACTTTTATCTAATAGAAAGGGATTGAGTATCGTTCTGTGTTTTCCTTTTTTTTCTTCCTTTCAGAAGAAGGCAGCAGCTGTGCCATAAACACTGGTATGTTATAGCAGGGTATTTTGCTGGTACCAGTTTACAATTGATTTGATTTACAGAGGTGCATGGATCTCTAATGAAAGCCCTTACCTTCTCCTCCTGAGTCTCGTAACATCGTGTCTGCTACTACAACAATCGGTCTTCTCAAGATATGGGCTAAGACAAAAACATGGAATTCTTCCAAGCTCTCATACACTGGATCTTCTGCATTGTCCACTCTGGAAGACACAGCATTGAGACTTTATGAACCAGCTTGAACCAACCATGAGACTTTGGTGGATCAACACACCCCAGCAGCTGTTTCTTCTTCACTGTCCCTTATATCTCCACTCCTCTGAAACCCATATTTTTAATCACTGAAGCCGGTAAAAAGAAATGGAAAGGAAAATGCATTTTGTAAATAAAATAATAGCAGCATTTAAAAAAAAAAAAAAAGTTTTCCAACTAGTATCACTATGCTTCAGGTCAGCCCCACAATAGTCCAGGAGATGGAAATGCCCAGCACCTTTAGAAGCCAACCCAGAAAGTCAATTTTCTACGAAAGAGATCATTCTTTTATCTGGACGCAAGGATAAATCTCTTAAAGTCCCCACTTCTCTAGCTGACCACTTCCAATCCCTTCTATTGACTGCATTAACTATTTAATGCATTTTTGGTTTCAGTTATCCCCTTTCTGTTTTCCCAGTTTAATGTCATTAATGTCAGTACCATATTTCAAAGCTTTGCCTCTGCCTGGAAAACAAAACCAAACTAGATGAAAGAAGACTGATAAATGAGAGGATTGTGGGAAGCAGAAAAAATGAAGATGAAATTCACTGCTGAGTGCCACTTAATATACCCAGAGTCCAGCTTTTGTGAGCCCTGACAAATAAAGGTGGGCAAGGTGACACAGGCACACTCTTAAAGGGAGGCAGCACCTGTCCTCTTCCTGCCAGCTGTGCAGGGACCTCCAGAACTGACTGCTGTTAATTTTCTGTGTATGTGAAGAACAGTAAGAGAGCAGAACTGCCAGGACACTGCTCCACAGTGTGTGGGACAAGCACAACAACCTCTCAGAGGTCTCACAGCATCCAGCCCATCCCTGGAACTTCACTTTCAAATCTTTCATCCCAGCCTAGAAGCATAGCAGGGTGGAAATGGTCACCAGCAGCTGGTGCAGAACAGTCACTAGTCAAGCACTGAGACACCACTCCATCCCTGGATCCCTTTTCCTGCTACCTAAACTGATAAGGAAATTTTTCCTGATGTTCAAACCAAATTCCCATTTTGCAATTTCTTTCCCTGTTCCTTACTGAACTTTTCTCCACAGCTGGCTGTGACAGCTTTTCAGCATTTGCAGTCCATTCTGTCACCTCAGAGTTATCTGTCAGCCAGAAGAAACTCAGGGGACTTATTGGCAAGACAATGTCAGAAAGATTTCCAGCTATCTTCTCACATTAGTATTTCCAGCCTATCAGTCCTAATTTTTTTCCTTCAAATCCTCTCATTATTCCTCATCTCCTAGTTAATGAGGTTTCTAGAAGTGAAAGGCATATTCCAGATACAGCTGTTATCAGAGAGATCTCTATCCCTTTGATCAGCTGATGCCATGCTTGACTGTACAAACTCCAAAATTCCACTGGGCTTTTTTCCTCTCCAGGATCACATCCCCATGTTGCTTGATTCACTATCTCTGATCATATTCACATATTTCAAACCCCTTCTCTGCTATTACACATTCCACTGCTCACTGCCATGGGATCAGAGTGCCTGAGGCCATAATGGAGCTCTAGGGAACCCCTTATCCAGCCCCTGCTCCATCAGGGCCACCCAAAGCCCTGGACTGTGTCCAGACAGCCTCGGGGTACCTCCAGGGGGAGAGAGTTCATAGCCTCTCTGGGAAACCTCTTCAATGCTCAATTTTCTACCATCACTGCCAGTAATTCATGTGGCCTGTTTTATATTATTTCAGTGCCACTTGCTGGGGATTCAGTATGAATTTTCCTAAAGATTAATGAGAATGAAAAATCATCATTAACAAGTATCCATAGCAACCTGCCACATCCTTTGATCCACTGATCATTCCACTTTTTTTCAGGGATCTTTTATGTATGCTGGCTACATGACTATGAAAATTGTGGACAATTTTGTCAATAAAACATAGAACCCAAGAAAATTTAGAAAACTGAAATTAATTCCTCTGTTCATGTAAAGCTAAATTTAAATAATTAAATCCACTTATATAAGAGCATGTAAATCTGTATTGCAGAATCCTGCTCAACCAGAGCACTCTGATTAAATAAATTATTCTAAGAGCAAATTACTAATAAAAAGAAAAACAAAAATCTCAGTCTGACCTACAGGACCACTGGTACCTCCAGTCCAAACACAGCAGACACAGTCTCAGCACTCCAAATTTTCACTCTTATGGAAAATCCAGATTGTACTGCAGCCAGGAATGAAAGAAAACCTCTTTCAAAAAGCTGGAAGGGAAAAGTCACCTACCCTGCTGTTCTACCTGGCTGGCTGCTGCTCTCTCACCTGTAAACTCTGAGCAAGATCTGTTCTCATGTCCTTGGATTTCCTTCTAACAGCTCCCTGTGGTGACATTGCTTTCCTTCCCCACACACAGCTCCAGATTTTCAGTCCAACAGACTCTAACAGCTATTCTGACTTTAGGACTCATTTTGGGATTCACACAGAGACCAATGCCCTCAGACAGCTGAGACGCACTGAAATAACAAGACAGGGATAAAGTTCTTCAACCTGGTGGTTTACCAGAAGCAGGAGATCAGAACAATATCTGAGTTCAGGGCTCAGTTTGCCTCCATTCCATTTCTGACACCTTTCTTTTCCTGCCTTACAATCTCCAAATGAAAACCAGCACAAACCACAGCTGCAGCTGTAGGTGTAGAACCTCTCCTTTGATTTCCTTACAGTGTTTGTCAGTAATTCAAACACAGGAAATTGCACAGTAGTGGAACATTCTCTTTCATTCTTCAAGGCAAAAAAGGTATATTGAATTGACTAAAGGAAAAGAAACACAGAATGTGAATGCTTTGGGCTCCATATTTGAATCACCACAACAATTTGGCTGTGCTTGGCTTCAGTACTTTATGTGAACTGAAAATAGGCCAGATAAAAAGAGGTATTAGCCTTTAGAAACTACAGCTAATAATCAGTAAATATGTTATAATAAACCATTTCTATCTGCACCCTACAATTGCTTCATATACTGAGCAGTTTAAAAGAAATGGCATTCCTGTAACAGACACCAGATCAAATAAAAATCATTTTAGGGCAATGTCTTGTTAAATGATCTAAACTAAATTCTGTGCAAGGTGAGGGTCTTGCATGGCTGCAGGAGTTGTATGAAGAGCTGTTTGTTGCAGCACTCGGAATACCAAGCGAGGTCCAAAACCTCAGAGGACACTTGCATTTGAGAGGTTCTTCCTGTTTAAACGTTCTGGGTTTCTGTCTCAAACTCAATTCCAACGATATACAGGAAGATTACAGAAGTATTCCCTCCCTTCTTCCCCATTTTAAGTTCCTTGAACTTATTAATAAGATAATGCCAACAGCACAGACACAGCTGGGAGGTGACAATAAGTACAAGCACCATCCATTTCCAGGGTCTGTATGAGCTCAAACCACAACAGCACCTGGGTTTTCAACAGTGAATAACAACAGTGATATTCACTCTCACATGAGAACAGGCTCTGACAATTGCACAGTGAAGGAAGGGGTTGGAATTTTCTTTTGAGCAGGATGGCGATAGTTAGGTTCTTAACAAAAAACAGGGTATCAGACATTTTCCTTTTTTCAATGCAGTTCCTTCAATTCAGTGCCCCTGCTTTTGCTTGCAAATGGAGATAAATGAAGTAATTATGTTAATCTAGAATTCATTTTTTACATTTACAGGAAGATGTGCAAATCTGTTTCAAAACAATAATCTGCTTCCTAAGTTTGCTCTGCTTTACATGTTGGAAACAAGCACTTAAGAACCAGGGCCTTCTGTGTTTCCTTCTCTTTTTCCAGCTTCCCAGCCTAAGAATGAGAGTGTCTCAAAGGAGAAATCTTTGGAAATTTAGCAACAATTGCTGATCTCCTTTGCACGTAGCTCACACTGAAAAATAACTAAAAGAAGTTTGCAGGTGAATGAGGCAGCACAATTCCATCCTTAGGTTTGTCACTGAACTCTTTTGAAGCAGATACAACTTCTGATGCTTTAGCTAATTCTGACACCAAAGGAAAACGTCTCATCTACAGTTCAAAGACTGATGTGCAAGCTTGCTTAATATAGCAACTAACTAAAGGACATCATATACCCCATCTCAAAAATACTATTTTGATATTCCTTTTCCTTGTCAAGGGCCCTACTTTGAACATGGGCTCATTAAACTGAAAAAATAATTCATTCTGTCACGTTCATTCTGTCTTTAGAATGAACGTAAAGAGAAGTATACATTCAAATTTTTAATAGAATAAGGATTTCTTGTCCAATCCATATTTCACTATTTCAAAGGAAAAATTAACTGTTGGCTATTTGTATTTACTTTATTTTGATTGAAAAAAGAGATAAATGCAAACCATGATGAGAAGGTTATTTATGTAGTACTGAAGGTTTACTGTCTGGCAAAGATAACATTTGAGGGCATCTCTGACTAGAAGGTACTGAAAATATGTGGCACATAGAGAATATGGTACATACAGAATGAAACAGAACAAGTCAGAGGAAACTGGGGCTGAATGATCAGATTTAATAGAAATATGGACTGAACTGCATTAGAAAACTGAAACATATCAACAGGAAAATATCTACAAACATATGAAACAACATAGAGATTAAAATGAAAATTAAATTTTTTTTTCACTTTAGAATAGAAGAAAATGAGACACATTGTGGCTGACAATTTTCTAAGCAAATTCCTCCTGAATTCCTAGAATTACCTATCCTTAACATCAGAAGGTTAAAGGGAAAATAAAATATTCTTTCAGAGCCCAAAGAATATTTTTTACAAACTTTGTTACTCTCACTATTATAAGGCTGTATGCCTTGTTTTGTCAATTTACTTAACATCACACATTATCTTCTCCAGGGGAGACAGTAGGTAGAGAAAACTATGCACTGAGCAAATACTAAATATTTTAGTGATAAACACTAGACACAAAACCGAAAGCTTCTGCATTCTGAAGGCTGGTCAATAATCCTGTCCTTTGGGGATAACTGCACTGAAAGCATGGGATGGTTTATCACAGTGGCTATTTAAAGTAGATTCTATATGTGGGTCAGGGGTATTTGAATGTTGTAGATACACTGTTTCATCCCAAATCTTTTCACAAATATATTTATGAAAAAAGGCTAAATGATACTGCCAACATGCTTGTTCTACAAGAAAAACAGTTAGGATTTATTAAATGCAGACTCTTTTGCATATAATGTAACCTCAAGTTAGTGTGGTAACTGACAAGAAAACACCACCGAAATGCTAAATATTATAATGGGATATTTAGATAATTCTGCCATGCAAAAGAGTACAACAGTTGTATTTGGTGGCATTTGGTGGTGCTATGAACACCTTCACTCCGTTGTGCTGTGCTTTTCCTACTGAGAGCAAGCCTGGGGCTGTGTCACACTGTGAACTTACCCCCCACCAGTGCCCCCGTTCTTGCTGAAATGCGTGCGCGGCTCGCTGGACGCCAGCTTGAGCAGCTCGTTCCACTCGCGCTCCCACTCCTCTTCCGTGTACACCAAACCTGACTGTGGGGCAGGAGGAAATGCTGTCACCGCTCTGCTGGCACACAGGGCAAGCAGAGCTCTGTACCAGGGTTTACAACTCACTTGAGTTTCACACATGACTCCGTGCAGTATCTTGGACCATTAATAGTTCAATATTTCTACTCACGTGAAAGAATATTAACTTATCAAAAAGATCTAAAATACCTACTGTAGAGTTAGCACATTCACTTGTTTGCCTTCAGGATTTCTCCTGAAACTGGCTTTTCTAGCTACTGATTAGGCACAGACATCTTCAGGAAACAGTAACATGTTGAAGATACAGCTTTTAATCAAAAATCAAATCAAATTTACAGATGATTTTTAGTTATGACACTTCTACTCAATATTTGGCCATGGCTCTAAAAATCCTCATTCAAGATTCTGGGAAATCTTTCCTAAATGGGGTTCTCTCTCTTTTGTGGATTTCATCTACTTATTTTTAAATGCTTTTGATAGCTAAATTACACATTTATTCTTCTACATGTTCCAAGTGCACCCTAGACCTTTCAGGCACAAAACTCTTTATACTTATACCCACGAAACTACAAGCACAATGGCAGCACAAGGAATTTGATAGCAATTAAAACTTTCACAGCAAACTTCAGAAGAATGCTTGTAACCCTCAATGATATTAACAAGGCTGTCTTTGGGCCATACAGACCTCCTTATTCTGCTGAGTCTGTTGCCATCTCCATCTTCTTTTCAGTGCTTCCCTTTCAGCTCCACTTCTCATCATAGTATAGAGGGCTTTCCGTAACACAAGGTCCCGGTCGTGAAATCCCCACATCCCTAAGGCAGCACAAGACGACATCCAGTTTTAAAGCAGCTACAGTGAAATAGAAATAGCTAATACATAATTGAAGATTCTCTATGGAAAATAATTCACCCACTATTTTTAAGATTTCCAAAAGAAAGAATCATCACAAATAAGCTAATGAGCAACAAGAGTTCTAACACATTTTAAACTTTGATTAGGGACAACCAAAGATAGGAACTGGTTTAGTGTTTGCTTGCAGGCAACTCCAGCTTTGCTGCAAGCCATGGAATATTCAGTGCACAGGTTGGTTTCAGCTGCAGTTGCCAGCAGGCACAAGGATGTTAATGAGCACTGCAAGCACCCCTTGGAATCACAGACGGTGCTGGCCCCCAAAGGCTCCAGCTCTTACACAGCAGGAAATTTCCTTTGGCTTCAAAATTAAGAGAAAAGCATTCAAGATGATAGAAAGTCTAAAAATACCACAGGCTTTCAAGTTCATTTTAAGATAATGAAACATTTTTATATGGTTGGGAATAGTAACCTACACCAAAAGAGAGCTGTCCCCAGTCCTGTGCTTACAGACAGCCATATTTCAGTCATTACATTGTCAGCTGCTGGGTTCAGGTTAAAATACTCCAAACATTTGCAGTAATTAACATAAAAAATTAACTCAATAAAGATAAAATTATCCTTGGAAACAGAGAAAACTCTTTTTTTACTGCCTGTTTCAACAAGAGGAGTATCTCCAAAATAATAAATATCCCGGTGTTTTTAAACAGTCACTCTTTGGAGTACTTTTGGTGGAAGATTTTAGTAGCTGCAAAAAGTCTAACTTTCCTCATAACAGGTTAGGATGTAGAAAGCACATCAAAGACCAGCTTCACAGCTTTCTACTGATTTTCAGAAAGGCTTAAAAAATGTATAAACAATTAATTTATCAATTGGAAATTATTTTAATTCACCCGAAATGTTGTTTCACATATACTTAAACCCTACAAGGAACTAACAGAGATTGGCACTGCATTCTTGAAACAGCAGAGAACTGTTTGAAGAAAATCAAGAGAATGAATTAATTTCCTTGTACATAATGAGGGCAATCCTGCAGAAGAACCTCAAATTTGCCTGTTCCAGACCTGTTAGCCCAGGAACACAAAAAATATAAGGTAAAACAGATCACTGGTGTTTGTGATACATGGATTTGGATACTGTTCCAGTTACACTTTTATATCCTGAGAAACTTTTTTCTTTCCTGCTTCAGGTATGCTGGAGGTAAAGAACACTACAGTGAAATATGAAGGACATATTGGTCCAGAATCAGACTTTTAATGCAAATCTTTGCATCTCATGTGTTTCTGAGCTTTGGCCGGGGCTAGAGGAGAGCAGTGAGTATTTCTGGCAGAAGGTTTCCTGCCCAGACTGCCCCTTACCTAGAGAGGCAGCATGCAGGAGGCAGTTTCCATCACCCGTTGTGGCCAGGGGCAGCAGGCGCTTGCAGCTGGTGCACACTGTGGACCACCAGTTGAGGCGTCCTGCAAAGGAAACACTGGTTATAGGGAGAGGAACCTGAACAGGAGCAGTGCTCTGTGCAAGTCAACACAGAGCAGGAGGGGCAGCCATGGACATCCTCTTTACCAAATAAGCTAAAGTGCAACGTTGGAAGTTAAAACTGAGATTAGAAATGAGGCAGGTAAACTAGTCTCTACATGGATCTAGGAAAGAAAAGAGCACCTTTAATTAATTTGCATCTACCAGTCTCATATGCTGCATCCAGTGATGGATTTCCAAGGAGTTTATTGCCTTAATACCATTCTGAGCCCTGCTGTCAGTTCCCAAACATAATTGACATTCGCCTCCCACACTCACATGACAGATTACATGAAGGTAATAAAGGAATTTTTCTTTTGTCAAAAGACAAAAGTAATATGTATGTGATAATCAAGATATGTTACTATAAAGGTAAATTTACTAAGTAAATTATTTCAATCAGATGGATTGTTTCAACAGCTGATTCTCCTCTCATTTCCCATAGCGTAAATCATTATTAGATCTACTAAAACCAAGCTACACTGCCAGAGAATAAAAATGCCACCAAAGCATAGCCTTAGGTATAGTATTGAATGTGGCCTTTCTCTTTAGGGAATACTTAAGAGAATCACTTATCCATCACTGCTATGTGAAGCATGTTTTACAGATTATAAACCAGAGATGGGTTCTGGAAAAACCTGGCAAAAGGACAGATGCTTGATGAACAAATAAGTCATGAAGACTATCACTGCCCAAGCCCACACTAAAAGCAGGTCATTCCTGGCCCACAGGTTGCCATGTGGTAGCAAACTGGAGTGTTAAGTCTTGGTTAAAAGGTCATGGGAGCACTTCTAATAGAAAGAGAGAAAATGGGGGTAATTGTGTGACATCTCTGGGGATGAGGAAGAGCAGATGATTAACACAGATGCGTAGAGCTGGTACATTTCCCAAGACTTGGCAGGTCTGTGGGTAATGCACAAGTGAATAATTAAATGAATAATGCAATAGGCAGACTTTTTCTCCCCCAGTTTCTTGACTGGGAAGCTGGGAAGAAATAGCATCTATATATTTGTACAAGTAGTCTTGCACTTAAGGTTAAACCCCAAAACAGAAGGAAGTTCAAACAACAAATAAATGCCTCTCCATTAATAAGTTTTCATTACAAAATTATAGTGAAGGTTATTTGTAATTACAAGTAATATACATTAGGAGAAAAATAGTGTAGCAATATTTATTACGTATCCCAGTTATTTGTTCTGGGTACTAAGAACAATGAAATTAAATTGCTATTAGTCCAAATGTGTTAAGAGTACCACACTGTAAAGATAAGATGCATAGCAGATCAATAAGCACATCTGGTAATCCTCAAATGATTTTAGCAGCTGATTTGTAAATGCACTACACCTCAGACTAGGCTTATTGAGTTCTAAATTAAATATGCAATAAAGATGCTTAATTCAAAGCACTGTTAGACAGCTTTTGGAAAGAGCAAGATCATTTTTAGCAATTCCTGCATCTGTGCATTAACAACTTGCCACCTGTTTTTAGCAGAATGTTTTGGTGGGATCATATTCAGCAATAAGTTACACCAAGATGCTGTATAAAGCCTGGTTAGAATACCTAAAACCAGACAGACCTTAGGTAGGACTTAAGGAAATAATGAGTGGCATTGCTTTGCAGATTAACTAACATCTATTGATAAGAAATGCCAAAGTCTGGTGTTTACGATGAGTAACAGGAGGTTTCTATAAAAGTGATCTTCTGCCAAGTGCATCCTGCAAAAAGCGTTTGGGGCGTGGCTAACATCACAAAGCTTATGGCTGACTGAAAAAAATAGCAGGTATGGGTTTATTAGTGGATTATAACAAAAAAGTGCTGCATTTTCATTTTTCAAATCTAGTAGTTATAATGGGTCTCTTTAGGGAAAAAACAGTAAAATGAAGCTTAGATGAAAACTGAGATCAAACATCTCCACAATTTTGGTGGATTGGTTTGGGAGACACAAAGCCCAGGCTTAACAGCATATTACTGTTTACTTTGGCTGTTGCTTCTTAGAAAACACAAACATGAGCACAGAAAGAAAAGCAGAGGAAAACAGTTTTTGGAGTTTCATACAGTATACTTGTACCATTTTTATTGAATTATATTTCACCACTGCAATAGAATTGTTTTTTCTTACAATTAAAATTACTGCATTAGTCCAGCCATTCCTCTGCTGTACTGTTTTTTTTTAAACACAGTACTTCAAAGAGCAGAAGTTTTCATACCACCTCTCTGTGTCAACCCACACATTAACAACACAGAGGGGAGCACGTGTCTATAATGAAAATCAACTTGCTGCACAAAATATTTAGAATTATAAAATTGCTTTCACACAGACTTCATTTCATATTATCAGTACTCGAGCCAGCCTCTGTTGAAGAACCACAGGAATTCCTGCCAGAGCTCACAGAGATCAGTCTGCCTGTTACTCGCAAGCTGACCTCATTCCAATTCTGGCAATAATCAACAGCTGAGTTAACAAGATGGACAAAACCTCTGAATGTTTTTATGAATGTGATGCATTTTATCCTTTCAAAGGAGAGCAATCATATTAAGGAGTAAACCATTCACTGCAGCAGTTGGGAGTAAGTAAATCACACTGCCTTTGTCTGGGCCTTTCCTTCATCATCTCACACAGCACTTTGCAGTAAATTGGGAATTTTGTTCTGAGTTTCCATGCAGATAGGATGCAACCAGGACATGCTGTCACATATAGATGTCAAGCTAGCAAGAGTTTAAGCATATAAAAAAACTCCATAAAAACCTTACATGCTTTACAGACACCCAGCTAATACGGTCACTTCAGAACCCATGTGTGACACTGTTAGTGGCAATTCTGCTCTCCCAGTCCAGGTTTTGGGAGTAGTAAGCTGTTAGCTCCTAGCAAATTTCCTTCTCCTTTGCCTAATCAGCTTCTTTTCTATTTCTTTTCTCTTGAAATTCACGGCATTATACCCAAGCACACTCCCCTCTTCCTTTAGCAACATCCCCAACCTCAGCTACAAAGGCTACTGTCCTTCATGGGATTTGGTTTGAAATAGATTTTAGGCTCTTTGCAGGATATGCACCTCATATTTTAGGTTTTTTTTAATGTCATTGACCAAACCATAGTTAAACTGTCAGTAGGAGACAATAAAATTTCTAATATTATGTGGCTTTCCTATTAATTCTCTTCATTTTGTACAACAAATAAAATAGGCAGGAAACTGGGTATCTTTACATCTAAATCAAAGACAAAAGGTTAGTTTCTATGAAGCCTTACATGATTTTTTTAAGCAAATGATTTGATCTGTTTAACTTACTTGAAATAAGAAGTGCTTCCCAGGAAGTTCCAAGTTATTTGAATTAAATGCTCATGAAGTAAACTATGTTTAAGTAGGCTGCAAGCACACCTGTGATCAAAACCCTGAGTACTTCAAATGGTCAAACCCTCTCCTTTCTAGGGTGCAAGAGGCTCTGGGGATGAAGGTGCTTTTCCAGTATGTGTCAAGTTACTGCCCTAATTAATATGAAGAAAATAAAAAATTATTTATTCTAATATTCAGAGAGGTTTGAGAGAGGAATGCTAAGAGGCAGCAAATTTGGTCATTTCTGCAGCCATTTCAAGTTCAAAGCCAACCAGCTCTGTATGGATTAGAGGATGTCAGCTCTAAATTCACACATTTCTGATTTTTTTTCTGTGATCCTCCAGTTCATACAAGACTCTAAAGGCTGTGATTGCACTGAAGCAGGTAGGTCAACAATGGTATCTTCTGCTATCCCTGTGCACTTTGGAGGGTGTGGCAGAGCTGAGAGAAGAAGAATTATCCTACTTTTCCCCTGTCCTCCTTGGCTTAGTTAGTTCTTAGAGAAACTGGATACATTTTTCTCATAGGTGACTTGCAGTTTTCATGCTTCATAGCTGCCTGGTAGAATTCCTACCTTATTTTACACTGCTGTTTCTCCCAGAAAAAGGTTTTCTGAGCACTGCTTGGGGTTCTTTTAGTTGTTTGTAGGTTTTGTTTCTTTTTCCTTAAGTATGTACTTTTTGAGGCTTTTATCTAAGTATGTCTGGCTTTTCAATCACCAAAGCCAAAAAAGAGCACATGACAACACCTCATAAGTACTCAGTGGGACACCAGATTAGCAGAGCTCCTGCTCAAACCAGAGATCCACTTTATCAGTTTGAGCTCACACAGGGCACCAGGGCTGGAGAATGAATCTCAGACCAATCCAGTGTTATACAAGCCACAAAAAAGGCAACTGTCTATTCCATATTCCACAAGCAACCATGAAATCTGATTTTACAACTCTTTTATATCACCAGGGTTGAGCATTTCACTATACAGATGTGTTCATTTCATGGTTCATTAGCACTCCTGCTGTTTCATAAGGCACCAATATTAATTTTAAACAGACTTCTTCATATCCTTCAAAATTGGCTTAAAACTTTTAACTACTAATAGATGTGAATTAACATTAATTTTAAGTATCTACACTTTTTTCCCCGTGGCAATACTGAAGTATTGCTTTAAAATTATGTAGTTTTTCTTATAAAAAATAATAAATATGTAAAATACATATCTAAAAACTATATTCTCAAGCTGCAATAGAACTTGAAGATGTCTTCTTTCACAGTCACTGCAATGTAATTTCCTCATAAGAACTGAAGTACCAACTCTCTCTGACCATCCAGACTCATGTCCTTGTCTATTGCATGACTTCCCCACCAGTCCCTTCCTTTCTCTCTCAATTTCTTTGTTTTATTAACTAAATTTGACCATTTTTTCTATAATGTTTTAAAAGAAACAGAGGACTGGGATATGAGTCATTTGGAAAAGAACACAGTAGTTACATTTACGCTCTGGCTTTTATTTCCCAGGCAGGATGTGCAAGCTCTGGCCATGAAGCAGGATTAGAAATGCCAACCCAAATGTTGGATTTGCCACCTACCGACACCCATGGTGTGACCCAGCTGCTGACAGACAGCTGAGGTGCCACCCACCTGCTTGCTCCAATGCCACCATGGTGGCCTGCTCAATTAAGTCCCGCTCGATGAAGCTCCTGAAGTCCTCACTGTACACGCTCAGGTCTGGCAGCTGGAATGTGTAGATGGGCATCTCCAAAGGGAACTGCTCATTGCTGCAGTCATTTGCTACATGTGAGCGAGCCAGGGAGACTATGGCTGAGCTGGCATGGGAAATCCCTCTGGAAAGACGCTTTTCTGTCGAGAAACCAAAGAGCAGTTACAGCCTGCACCACTGCACAGCAATGCCAAAGCTGGTGAATGCACATTCATTTCACTAGGAATTTATTCCACATCTTGTTCGCTGCCTTTTTCAGGTTATTTCCCGACTGTGAAAGATTGCTTGTTCCTATTACAGGTCCCTTTGGCAAGCCAGAGGAACTTGACTCACCTTCTAGTAAAAAAGATCAGCTGTAAAAATAACAAAATGTGAAAAATAAATATTCCTATAAAATTTTTCCTTGATGTATCTTAAGTTTTCAAGGCTTCATTGGAAGAAAAATTTATTGATAGGCAGGTAATCAGTTAATGTTTTGAACTCCTAATTAAAGCTTACTTTAACATGACTTATCACTAACAATGTTTTTAAGACATCTCAAACTGACTCATGGTTATTTAAAATGAATTTTATTGCAGTTTGTGAACTTTTATTTCTCTAATGGATCAAAGTCTTTCTAATTCTGAGACTTAAATTGCACTCCCTAAATTACCCTAAAGGGAGGGAGAGGGTAGAAGGTTTGATTTGTTTCTTCTCCCTGTACATCTCAGCTAAATCCCCTGAGAAGGGGCACTGAAGTGCAGGACAGCACCTCCATGTGACCTCCCCTTGCTGCCACTCCTCCATCACCCCTCCCAGCATAGCCCAGCCTTCCCCTGCTGGCTGCATTCTCCACTCCTTGGTGCAAAACAAGGTGCTCCTTTCCCTTCTCTGCTCCTCCCTGAACATCCCTAGGTTCACCTGTCAGTCAGAGGTGCATCTCTGACCAGGAGATCCTCAGCTACACACTGAGTTGGCAGCCAAATTCCTGTCAGTCCAGGTGGTCCGAGTCAGATGTACCTCACACTAGCTACTGCACCCACTAAACATCAGATGGATGTTTCAGTGCAAACTGTATCACAAAGAGGCTAAAGGCACATGGTTTTATCAACTGTGCTGCTCTTCCTCCCTTTATTTGTATTCAGTGATTTAAGGAGTCTTAAGAAGTACCACAGCTCCTTTTCTTCTGATGGAAGTCAGCAATTTTTAAACAGCTTTACTGGAACTCCTAAGCACTGATGCTATTTCCTGTTTAACAGGAGGGCAGAGTCAGCAGGAGAAGGGAAGCCCTTCTGTTCCTTTTAATGGCTGCACAGAAAGCCATCACCAGGCTACTGCTATTACCTGCCTACATGACAAGCTGTCAGACCTGCAGATTTATTTTGGGACAAATTACAGCTTCTTGAGAAATTAATAGGAAAAAACTGTAACCCAACATTTAGAGAGAGAGCTGAAATAAAACCCATAAGAGGTCTGCAAACAAAAAAGCAAATTCTAATGCTTATCATCTTGTACTGGAAATTAACTGTTAGAGGTAGTTGACTAATTTTTCTTAAGGTTTCAATTTCTGTTCAGCAGGGGATAGGAGGCAGTTTCTGTGGAACCATAAAAGAATGACATTTCAAAGCTGAAAGCTATTCATAGTCTGCTTACATCCTATCCACACACTGTGAGTAAGAATGCAAAGAGTGAAATAAGGATTTTTTTAAACATTTTTGTTTGTTTGTTTCAATAAGCATAGAAAACTGTATACAAGAGTGGTCTGTGACACCCTCTAATTAACTTCTTTCATGACTACCACAGGACTGCTTGGGGACAATATATTTTACTTTAATCACCCATTTAAAAAAAACAACTTGCAGAATTGAGGCAGAGCTGACAACCACCAAAACATGAAAAATAGGGTCTAGCAGCAGCTCTGAGCCCCGTGACAATGACACAGCTCACACGCTGCTGGCACATGGCCTCCCACACTCTGCAGCCAAGCACAGCTCCCAAGCAGACAGGTTGGAGACCCACCTGTCCCCTGAGACCCCCCAGAGGAGCTGTTACCTTGGGCGATGTCATCCTGCCTTTGCAGGCAGGGCCTCTCAGCCTTGGTCACCTGGGGCGGCTGCTCTGGCTCCTGCTGCTTGTAAAACCTGCCCTCGTTGAACACCTGGGGCAGGTTGGCCGTGTGCACCTGCCGCAGCTGCTCATAGTCATTCAAAGCTGCCGTCAGGTCCCAGTTCTTGCCTGCAAAACAGCAAAGGAACCCTCAGCTCAGCCCTGTCTGGGAGCAGCTGCCCCCACCACCCTCCTGGGACTGCCCAGCCTGTGGCATCCCAACACAGCAGCACTGTGGGAAGAAGTGTCAAAGCCAGCCACCACTGAGTAAAAGGTACCATCTCCCCTCATCCATAAACCCTTAATTTTGACATTGTATCACAGGAGCGATCAAAGCCAGGACTTCCCTTGCTGAGATTCTAATCAAATGGCTCCAGAAATTAGCAATTTAGGATGAATTCTAAATCCCACTGAGAGGGAGCAGTAATTTGCAATTGTATGGTTGTATTAATAATAAATAATAATTAGGAGCAATGATGGAAAGACAAGAGTCATAGTGTCATAGCCCAAAAGAGTGAGAAACTTTCTTATCTTCATTTGCAGAACAGCTAGAATGCAAACAAAAATACTTTAGGTCCCTTTATCTCATACATGAGAGAGAACTCGCTCTCTTAGAGGTTTTAAAAGCCTTTTAGAAAGCAGGTAGTAAAGGACAGTGTTCTGTAACAAAACCAGCAGCAAGAGACTGAGTCAGTGTGGTTCCCTGCCTGTGGTAGCTGCTTGTGGAACCTCTAAGCCCAGAATCCTCTAAATGATTTGCTTCCACCTCCCACTTCAGTATATTGCTCTGACCAGCAACCACAGAATGCAGGCCAATATCCAGAGAAGCAAAAGTCTGTTTAGCACAGGTGGTGAAACAGGACTTGTCATTCTCAAAAAAAAAAAAAAACAACATGAAAAACATGTTGAGATGTCTGCCCGCTATTTTCAAAATAATCCTACTAAGATACAGAGACACCTACCATTCTTCAAGTACTTGTTTCTAATTGGAAAATTAAAAATATTTAATAACAAGAAAGAGAGGCCCTCCAAGTTATATGAGACTTCCAGAGAATTCCACAAGCACTTTTCCTGGAAATTCAAAAGTAACCTGATTCTGACTAATACATGACTTATTACACCATAGAAGGTTGTCATTTTATGTACTTTGAGAAGCTACATTACCTGAGTAATGCAGTTAAAGGTAACTTACTTGCTTACACCAAGGAGACAAGCTAAATATAGTACAAAGCAGTTTTAAACAGCCAGAAAAAGCCTTTTACTGTTACAGTCATATCTGTAAAGAACAAAAACCTAACCAAAGAAGGAAAAAAATAGCACAAACAGTCGGTACCTACAAGGCTGAGCTAAGCTACCTCAGGTTTTGACGTACTAATAAAATTCTGAAAGGAGAATTGGTATCATTGAGCAAGAATGTTACCTAGCTCCTGAGCAAACTATAATATAAACCACCATGTGAGCCATACAGAATTGTTCTGTAAAGCTGTAATTGCCTATTAGAAAGTCTGAAGGACAAAATGTAAATTCAGTGAAAATTGTCAGAAATACTGGAACAAGAACTTCAGCTATTACCAGCATTTGTTCCATAAAAAGCCCATGTAGAGTAAAAGGCTGTAATCCAGTCAGGGCTCTGCTCTAACTTTACACACATCCCAACCAAGTCACACAACCCAAACAGAGCCTAAGTGCCTTCCCAAACCCAATCAGTGTTTGAAGCAAGAATGGCTTTTCTTTGCTTCTGGTTGTAAGAGGCACTTTACACACATTCTTAAATTCTTCTTCTCAACCATAAAAACAAAGTAAACAAACAAACAAAAAAAAGTGAAGGTGACAATAAGTATAATTCTAGGAAATGTAGCTTTAAACAAAACATTATTATTCTAGTATTGGCAATGCTAGAAACCCAGGGCTATGTGACCTGCAGGAACATCCTGGATTCATTGAGTGCAGATCCCTGAGTACCATCCCTGTAGCACTGGAACACCAACAGCATTTCTCAGGGTATTCCCTGCAGTTCCCCTGCTCAAGACTTTTTCATGTTCAAATTCAGAAGCTAAAAAAAATCCCAGTGCATGTGCTGTAAGTGGCTGATGTGTGACAGGGCTTTGATGTATGTAAGAGGAAAGCAGAAAATCAGCAGACTCACAGAAATCCCGCTGGCCTCAATTTTAAGCCAAATGCAATCATCTTATATAAAAACTCTGTCATAAAAATTACCTTGAGCCTTCAGAAAGCAGGCTCACAGTGTGTTGCATTTAAAACTGGATTGCACAGTGGCTCTTGAGTTACACGTCATGGTATATTGTAGCAAATGGACTTCGAAAATAGACTTGGAACCTTACAAAAATTAAAATTTCTACACCTAACACATAAATATTTAATTTTCAAATCTTTTCATATCCCTGGAATTCTCCCCATCTCCTGAACAGAAGCACCAATTCAGCACCAAAGCCCTAAACTTCAGAGAACCAACACAGGAAGTTATGACTGGACTCACTTTCCCTAAATTGCAAGCATTGAAATGCAAGAAAAACATTCAATCAAATTAAAGAACATATTCAGCACCTTTCCATCTCCATGAAATAGTGTTTTTGAAAATTAGCCACCCTCAATGACCAGGATAAGTGTTTCCAGCTACCCTCTCCACTGGAAAGATGGAAGGTTTCACCCTTTGCCCCTCTCCATTTGATTTACACTTTCACAAGTAAATACAAATGACAATTCTTTTGTTTTCCCCATTGCCCATTAAAAAAAAGAGGAGCATTCATCAGTTTGGGAGAATCAGCAAAGAAAAATCTCTAGAGAATAAAGGAAATTAGAGGCAGCAAAGACAATTAGAGAAAGGAGAGAACAAAACTAAGGGTTTTATGAAAGACTGAGAGAAAAAATACAAATAGGTACACAATCTAATGCAGTGCAAAATACATTTTAAAAATGTAACAAGTCTAATAAAAAATATAATGCAATTTGGACCACAGGAATAGACTGCAGAGACAAAAGGCAAGCTGGGAACCAATCAGGAAGATTATAAAATTCAGAAATGTCCAGAGTAGATGACCTGAACAAGGATTTCTATCAATGTGACAGGTAGGTGAGAAAGTTTTAGCTGCAAGTTACTGAGGAAATTAGTGGGTCTCGTGGTTGTGGAGATTAACAGAACTAACACTGCTTATCTCTCCTTTAAATGTTGCATACAAAAAGCTTTTGAATTTCTAAAACTGTGTCTTATTACATTACAAACCAAGTTCTGAGAGACAAAACCCCCTGAGTTATGCTGGGTTAGAAATGACAAAAATTAATTCATATAATATGGAAAACAAACACATCCTCCCACCCAAAGCCTACGGGTCAGGTCCCTCCTTGCAGTTTTGCCCCTTGTCCAACAAGTGGCATTGGCCCCTGGTTTGGGGCAGACTGCACAGGGTCCCTCTGGTCCCTAGAGAAGGGAAAGAGGAAGTCTTCTCCTAAGTTCTGTTTGTGTGTGTCTCCCATGTTCTTCTCTGACACCTCCCAGACCCTGCTCCTCACACAACTCCCTTCACTGTCACATCTCTCATTTTCTTTGCCATCTCCTGCACAGGCACCCAAGAGGAAGGGCCAGTCTTTCCTGCCTGCACAGAGGTTATGCCTGAAAGACAAGTAACAGGCAATTAATTTATTTTTCATAATTTCATCAATTAATTTAAGTCAAGTAAAAGCTTGTGTTGCAATTTGACAGAAAAAAAAAACAACACAAGGCTATTTTTTAGATTGCCTGCTATTTTTGTTTCACTGTTATGTATCTGATGCGCTCCGTTCACTGACTGCTTCTTTGTTTATATGACATTATTATATTTAAAAAGGCATTTCAGAGGCATAACAATGTTATTTCAGTGCACACAATCACATCAGATAAGCCACTGGCAGCTCTGGGTCAGTAACAATTCGATTGCTCCAAACCAGCACCAACACAGTAGGTTTGCAGGAAAGGCTTCCAGTTTCAAAAGGCCAAAGAACATCAGTCAGCAAAAAAGCTGGAGGAGCACAAAGTTGGTTAGAAAACACAAGTAGTGAAATCATTATCAGGGTGCTGGAACCAAATCAACTCACTGACTGAACAGAAAGACTGAGCAATTGCTTCCTGAACAGCTACATGTGCTATGTGAGTCAGCAGGTGTGCAATTTAGCAACACACGAAGGTCTCTGCTTTGAAACCAAGTCCTTCATGTTTGGAGGAAAAACAACAAAACACACACACCCAAAAAAAAAAAAAAAAAAAAAAAAAAAAAAAAAAGGAAAAAAAAATAATAAAAAAGAAGTGCAACTGAGTAAGGAATTGAAGATACACTGTGGCTGAAGGCTGAAACTGATGTTTTAGTGTCAGAGATAGCAGACACCTACATAAAACGGATATTCAAAAATAAACACAGCTACACTGTGAAGTTTCTGCCCTAAATAATGACTCTTTGAATAACAACAGGAGGCATCATGAGCTTGAAGAAAAACCAAATATTTAGATAAAACAGTATATGGTGCAAGTAGCCACTTACCCTCAAACTAGAGCAGAGGGTTAATAAACAAAGTCCTAAAGAACAGCACAACTAGAATTCACCTCAGAAGCATTGATAAAATCATAGACTCCAAAAATGGTTTAGGTTGGAAGGAATCTCAAACCTCATTTCATGCCAGCCCTCTGCCATGGGCAAGAGCACCTTCCACAGGAGCAGGCTGCTCCAAGCCCTGTGCAATGCGGCCTTGGACACTTCCAGGGATGGGGCAGCCACAGCTTGTCTGGACAACCTGTGCCAAGGCCTCACCACCCTCACAGGGAAGAGTTTCTTCCCAATATCAAATCTAACCCTGTCCTCTTTAGTTTGAAGCCATTCCCTTGTGTTATCACTTGTGCTCTTGTCAAAAGCCCCTCTCCAGCTCTCTTGGAGCCCTTTTAGGTATTGGAAGGTACTCCAAGGTCTTCCCAGGGCCTTCTCCTCCCCAACAGCCCAAGGGTGTCATAGCAAAGGTGCTCCAGTCCTCTGAGCATCTTCATGGCCTCCTCTGGACAGGTCCTGAGAGATCCATTGGGGGAGCAAAGCTGGATGCAGCACTCCAGGTGGGGGTGTCACAAGGGCATTCTCCAGTGCTGTAACCCC